GTTGACCCTGGAGCTGGAGGTGCAGGCGCTGGGGGTGCTGCATCTGGCAGTACTCGTGCTGGAGGCACTGTGTAGTGGCGCCCGTTTTTCATTCCGCCACCACCGTCGTCTCTGCCGCCACCTGACTCGGTCCTTCGCCAGATTCTTGGTCTCTCGTCTTCTACTAGCCTTCCTCCTAGCTTACTGAGACCACCACCTCGCCAGTCGCAGCCACAGTTACAGCCAAACTCCCCACTGCCTGCTCCTTCTCCTTACGCTGAGCAGAAAGACTCTTTTACACAGCGTCGTGAGCCTGAGTCTCGTCCTACCTCACCTGTTCGCGCTGTTCGCACTGGTCGTCGGGTTCCTCGTCCGCGTCCTCCTCCTGTCCGCGGCACTCACGTTATGGCACTTCGTCCTCCCTCTGTTCCAGTGCGCGTTCCTCTGCCGCCTCCTCCTGAGTCCTCTCTTCCTGCCGTTCCTAACCCTGAGTCTGACCTAGCTCGTGCTGCCAGACCTACTATCACTCGTCTTCTCGCCACTGTTGTCACTGACCCTTCTTTTGAGTCCACTGCTGCGTCTGCCCTAGTTGCTGAGCTTGTTGACTTTGCGCTGCCTATCGTCTCGACTACGCCACTAGTCTTGTTGCTGAGTCTGAGTCTGACTGTCCTCCGTCCGTCGGGGGTGAGTGTGCCCTTGGCACGGACGTCCTTGAGGATAGGCAGTAGGACTTTGAGTGCACCCGTCGCTATTTCTATGCACCGACACTTTGCTGGCGCCGTTCTACGTCCTCGTGTATGTCGACGACTTGGTCTTTGCCACTTCTGACACTGAGGCACTGACCCTTGTGAAGTCGGAGCTGCAGAAGAGACACATCTGCACTGACCTCGGTGAGCTGCGCAGCTATCTTGGCTTGCATATCACCCGGGACAGAGCACGGCGCACCATCACCATGACTCAGTCACACATGGTGCACCATATCCTTCAGCGCTTTGGCTTCCAGTACTCCTCGCCACAGCTCACTCCTCTGCCTACCGGTCACTCGCTCTCTGCTCCACCTTCGGACGAGTCCGTAGAGCCGAGTGGCCCGTATCCAGAGCTTGTGGGCTGCTTCATGTACCTGATGACCTGCACTCGACCTGACCTTGCCTACCCTCTTAGCATGCTAGCACACTACGTTGCGCCTGGGAGACACCGACCAGAGCACTGGGAGGCCGCTAAGAGGGTGTTGCGCTACTTGTGCAGTACGTCGGGCATGGGCCTCGTGCTTGGAGGACAGGGTCCAGTTGTCCTCACTGGTCACGCAGACGCGTCTTGGGTTGACGACTTGGCTACGCAACGGTCGTCATGGGGTTACACTTTCAGCCTTGGCTCCGGCTCTGTTTCTTGGCGGTCTACCCGCTCGTCTTCTGTTCTCAGTTCTAGTTGTGAGGCTGAGATCTAAGCAGGGGCCATGGCTGCACAGGAGTTACGCTGGCTCACCTACCTGCTAACCAACTTGGGAAAGTGGCCTCGTTCTTCTCCAGTGTTGTACGTAGACAACAAGACCATGATTGCCTTGTGTCAGGAGCACAGAACGAAGCACATCGCTCTGCGTTACTTCCTTGCTTGAGAGTTGTAGCAACGTGGTCAGCTTCGTCTTGCTTATGTGGCCACTCGGGCCAACACTGCTGATATATTCACCAAGGCACTTCAGTCTAGTGATCATCAACGTTTCTGTACTGTTTTAGGCCTTCTACCTACTTTGCCTCACTTGCTCACTACGTGACTTTGCTTGTACTGTGATCTCTATATATATACCTGCATGCTTACACTTGCTAGGGTATGATCACTGTACTGTTTGTTTTGCTTTATGTAACTCTACTTGTGAACTGGCCTTGTGGCCTTTGCTTGTGCTCGGAATGTGTGGTGACTTCGTGATCCACCCTGAGCTTGCTTTGCTTTTCTTGACTGGTCTTGTGACCACTTGTTCTCCCCCACTTTGCTTATGGGGGTGTGTCAAAATGTTATATTGCTTACTTTGTGTAGGCTACAGTGGGGTAGCCCATATATTGTGTCAAAATGTTATTTAGCTTACTACCCTGCCGCCGTTCTACGTTCTCGTGTACGTCGACGAATTGGTTTTTGCTACTGCTGACACTGAGGCATTGGCCCTAGTGAAGGCGGGGCTGTAGGAGAGACACGCCTGCATTGACTTGGGTGAGCTGCGTATCTATCTTGGCTTGCAGATCACCCGGGACAGAGCACGCCGCACCATCACCCTGACTCAGTTACACATGGTGCACTAGGTCCTTCGGCGCTTCGGCTTCGAGTACTCCTCGCCACAACGCACTCCTCTACCTACTGGCCACTTGCTCTCAGCTACACCTTCGGATGAGTCCGTAGATCCAAGTGGTCCATATCCAGAGCTTCTGGGTTGCCTCATGTACCTGATGACGTGCACACGACCTGACCTCGCGTACCCTCTCAACCTCCTGGCCCACTACGTGGCTCCCGGTAGACACCGAAAGGTGCACTGGGAAGCTTCAAAGAGGGTATTGCGTTACTTGTGCAGTACATCGGGCTTGGGGCTCGTGCTTGGAGGACAAGGTTCAATTGTTCTCACCAATCACTCAGGCGCTTCTTGGGCTGACGACCAGACGACTCACCGGTCGATACTGGGGTACAGTTTCAGCCTCGGCACTGGTTCTGTCTCGTGGAGGTCCACTCGCTCTTCTTCTGTGCTTGGTTCCAGCTGTGAGGCCGAGATCTACGCATGGGCCATTGCTGCACAGGAGCTACGCTGGCTGACCTACCTGCTGACCGACTTGGGGGAGTGGCTTCGTTCTCCTCCAGTTCTGTACGTCGACAACAAGGCCATGCTTGTCTTGTGCCGGGAGCAGAGACTGGAGCACAGAACGAAGCACATTGCTCTTCGCTATTTTCTTGCTCGAGAGCTGCAGCAACATTCTCAGCTTCGCCTTTCTTACGTGGCCTCTCGGGCCAACACTGCTGATGTGTTCACCAAGGCCCTCTGGTCTGGTGATCTTCAGCGTTTTTGCACTGCTCTTGTGCTTCTGCCTGTTCTACCTCACATGCTTGTTTCTTGATCTTGCACTTGTTGTACACTGGTATCTTTATTTATACCTGCATGTTTCCTCTTGCTAGGTTGTGATCAGTGTACTGTCTTGCTATTATAACTCTGCATGTGAACTGGCCTTATGGCAGCTTGCTTGTGCTCGGATTGTGCGGTGTTCTTGAGATCCACCATGTGCTTTGCTTTGCTTTGCTCTATTGTCTTGCTTGACTGGTCTTGTGACCGTCTTGTTGTCCCCCACTTAGCCTATGGGGGTGTGTCAAAGTACCATCTTACTTGTAGGCTGTAGTGGGGCACTCCTTATGGGGTACAGCACTTCTAGGGTTAGTACTTGTACCCCAACTCTTGCTAATCCAATCATTCCTGCACATTGATTCTGACAAAAGTGTGGGTGCGGTCCGAGAGGAGATTGTAGGCTTTGAATACCAAGTGTTACGAGTGCAATTGAGCGAGCGAGCGAGAATTGCACTATCGAAGCAAAGACAGTGCATTGGGCAAAGGCATGAGCGAAGAATATATAGCAAAGCTAGAGTGGTAACGGTAATGTGTGAAAATGGGGTGCGTTACGGGCCTAGCGCCGAGGTTGGGAATTGTTGAGGCGGAGGTCCGGAGCGCGGGTTACCAGGCGAACTGTGAGGTTGGGTCGTGTCGTGAACAGTGGCGGGAACAGTGGTCGAGGCGAGTGTCGCGAGTGGTAACGGTGCACTGTTGGGAGTTGTTGGCGGGAATAGCGGTGTACGCGCTGAGCAGGGATGCGAAGTAAGGAAAAGGAATTTCCTTACACATATACCGTATCACCCCGGATAGAAGCGCAGGCCTATTAAAAGCGCATGCGCTTCTATCTGGAGCAATGCGCTTATGCCCGATCCTCAATTATAAGCACACCCCCTAAAAAAACATGATTTATTATAAGCGCATGTTAGTTTTAAAATTGAAAATCTGTCAAATTACTGTAACGAAATTCACTTTAGGAGGCGATGTGTTGAAAATCAGATTTCCTTCGCCTTCAAACCCTGCACAGGCTGCGTGTCCAGTCAGCAAGTGCTGTCAGAAGCTCCTAGTGACTCATTTTGAGTGTATGTGCTGGCAGGGAATCTTTCCCTGCCAAGTAGCGAGAGTTTTTCACCCACAACCCTGTTTCAAGTCGACTCGATTGGGTGCGCAATGACGCGAACTACATTTTCGTGCTAGTAGTTTAAAATTGTATATTTGTCATTTTATAAGTGCATGCGCTTATATTTTCACTCAATTATAAGGGCACCCCCCTGAAAAATCATGTTTTATTATAAGCGCAGGTGCGCTTATATCCGGGGTGATACGGTATTGCTGACTAAACATAATGTTTCCATATGTTCCGTGCACCACCTCGTCTGGGTGCACTTTGCTGCAGAAAGCCATGATGACACAGAGTGTATCCGAACGTAGCTTGAAGCTGGTTGGCTAAAGCCGAAGCAGAGTTCAAGAATGAAGGGACAAGCGTGAGGTTTGGCATAGAGAGGAATGAACGGCGGCCGAAGGCGCTTCCTTGCCTCCCGCACTGCAACAATGCGAGCTTGCCACTTGACTTGAGTGACACACACCGCCCGTAGTCCTAACCTGAGCTGAGTGAGCCTCGCACCCTTCAAGCGTTGCCTCTCGCACGCCTCCCACAGCTGAAGCACACGCCACTTGGCTTCAGCACACAGAAGCTCACCCTGGTGTTACCTCCGCTCTTCGCGGGGGGGCGACATAGAAGCTCCCGCAGCATGCGCTATTTATAGCTCTCCGCGCACGCGCACTGGACCCTAATTACTAGAAGGCGCGGCGTGCAGGCATCACGATGACCAGCACGTTCGCCGAGCCGCAATACTCATTTTGAGTCCAGTCAGAATTCAACTCGTTACAAGCGGCCCATATACTAACTAATAATTTATTCGTTATTTTTCTAGTTGAATAAAGCATCGCGATGGGGAGCACGTTCGGCGAGCTGGGGTACGCGTGCGCGATTAACGTGGCGGTGCTGGCGGGCATGCTGGTGGCGTACACAATCCTCTCCAAGCAGCCGCTCAACGCGCGCGTCTACTTCACCAAATGGTTCTCCCTCAACGACCGGGTGCGTGCCTCCACGACCGCCGCTTCGCCTCGCGCCGCCAGGTGCTCCGAGCCCAATTAGCCCATCGCAGCTCGAATTATGATTCGTGCCCGAGAAAATGCGTTCTGGAAAGGCAAATGGGAGAAGTTAAGACCTTAAGCCTGCGAATTGAAGAAAATGCTGCGTTGATTCGAGTCTAGCATGTCCGTTCCTCGTCCGCCCTGCCCGCATTGCCCGCTCCTTCGCTCCCCCCGTGCGGCACGAGCCGCCTTTCCCGGTCCACGGGAAGCGTTCACAAGCCTCGCCGTGTGCCCTCGGTGCCGCACCCCCCCGCCTGCTGCATCCCTGCGCGCCTTCCCATGTGGCGCGCCATGCAGAGGCGCACCTTCTCACGTGGTGCGCCATGCAGAGGCGCGCGCTGTGGAGCGCGCCGGACGCGACGCGTGGCCATGCCCCTCTCGTCGACTCCTCGCCGCACCACCATCGCTCATTCCCCCGTCTCATGTCGCCATGGCCCTCCTAAATCCTCCCCTCCTGCTCCTCCCTGCCCCTCCTCGCCCCTCCTCGCCCCTCCTCGCCCCTCCTCGCCCCTCCCTGCCCCTCTCTCCCATCCCACCCCTCACGAGGCAGGAGGCGGCGAAGTACGAGAGGGTGAAGATGAAGGGCGGCAACGTGGTGAAGTGCCGCCATCCTTCTCATCTCATTCCATTCACCATTTCCTCCCCCCCTCCCTCCCTCCCTCCCATCCCTCTCTCCCTCCCTTCCATCCCGTCATGCCGTGGGCTCTCTACAGGAAGCAGCGGAGAAGTACGAGAAGGTGAAGATGAAGGGCAACGTGGTGAAGCGCCGCCAGTGGCTCAACCTCTCCCTGCGCTCCTACCGCTCCGCCTTCTCCTGGGTGGGCGTGGCCCTCGCCATGCCCGAGCGCGAGCTCATCGCACATGCTGGGCTGGACAACGTTGTCTTCCTGCACGCGCTCAAGCTGGGGTGCGTGCGTGTGGGTGGCACACGCTCAAGCTGGGGTGCGTGTGGGTGGCACCAAGGTTCAAAAAAACGGTAATCGTATTATACGGTCCGTATAATACGGTCGTTTTTTACGGCAAATTTACCAAAAATACGCCGTATTTTTGATAGACATTTTTGTGTGATTTTTTTTTTTTTTTTTTCCCAAACAGTCCCTGGAATGTTTTCCACATGGTCCAACAAGGTGCACACTAGTCTAATTAACTAAACAGAGGCGTTTATTAGAACTCTACACCACTAGACAACATACTCCCCCTACGACTACTCACTACCCTACTCCTATGCCTCTATCTCCCCCTCCTCTCCTACACACGGCATCCTCATCCTCTACTCATCCTCCTCCTCCTCGTCATCCTCCTCTACCTCTTCCTCCCCGCTCGAACCATCACTGCAGTCCCACGGGTCAACGCTCTTATGAGTCTTCTCCTTACGAATCACGTCCTCCTCCTCCTCTCCTCCACTGCTGTCCGCTGCCTCCTCCTCCTCATCCGCAGCCACAGCAGCACGTGCTTTGCCCTTTCCCTTGCATGGCACGGTTGCCTTCCCCTTCCCCTTTCTCTTCCTCTTGGAGCACTCATCTGTCCTCTTCTTCCTCTTGCCGATGTTCCCGAACCGCTCCCAGTCAATGGTGCACTTTTCGGGCTCATCTCCCTCCTCCTCTTCCCCCAGCTCCTTCTCTGGTGTGGGTGCCGTTGGGATGATGCACCCTTCCTTAAGGGTGCCATTGCTCAGGTCCTTATACAGCTTCGCCCTCACCTCAGCTTTTAGGTCGAATGCGGCCCTGGCCCTCCTAGAGAATGCCACGAACGTCACATCCATCATCTTCCTGGCGGTGAGGCGGTTTCGATCACGCCTCTGCACCCGTGCGATGGCGGACCAGTACCTCTCAACCTCGGACGAGGTGACTGGCTGTGATAGCAACGACATAGCCAGCTCCTGAAGCGCCTTCACATCCCCCCCGTACATCCACCACCACTCGGCATCCGACAAGCGCCCACACGCCACCAAATGCGTTGCTGCCCAACGCGCTTCATCCGATCCCAAACTGCCCTCTCCTTTGTGGAATTGGGTCAGCTGCACACTTAGAAGTGCGCGCTGCGCGACATCCACGGCCCGTGCTTGGAACACCTCGTCCGCACCACGTCTTACCTCGGCATCAGTCCTCACCTCCCCCGAATACTGATTGCGTGGGTTGAGCAGCCAGCCCAGGGCATGTAATGCGTTATGGAGCTGGCCGTCCCACCGTTTGGCAATTATTGCCTTGATGGAGGCCATAAATGCCGGCTTGTCCTTGGCCGCCAGCAGAGAGGTGCGTTTCACCAACATTGTGGCTGCCATGACGAAAACCGTAGAAGAAACGAAAAGTAAGTACTACATAACCGGGAAATGGGGGGCACGGCAGACACATTCGCGGATATGGCGGTAAGGGGGAGTCCCAGCAATGATTAGTGTGAAATGTGACGCTCACCTGCAGCCTCGGCGGCCTCGTTAGTCTTGACCGTGGCCTCTAGCATGAGGCCATACACCTGGCCCATCACTAGAGCCCGAGTGTCCACGGTTCGTAGGACCTCGTACACCGGCGTCATAAGGCGGAGCACCGCCGTGCCGCACTCCCAGAACACGTCATCCAATAGAAGCTTGCGGACCGCCTTCCCCTCCTCCTTTTGTGCCACCGCAATCCCCCCCCATTCCTCACTAATCACCATCGAGCGCAGTGCTTGCTTAACCTCTAGGAAGCGGGACAGCATGATCACTTGCGTGCCAAAGCGCGTTGCACCAGGCCGCACCAATGAAAGCTTGCTAAACAAGTCCTCGAAGAGAGTGACGGCAGATGCGCTGCCCTTGACCATCATCACCACTCGATGGACCTGGCTAAGAACCCGCTTCACGGCTCGAATGTTCCCCATATCGTGAAGCATCAAATCCAGCGTGTGCGCGGCGCAGTTGGTGAAGAATATCGAAGGATAGTCCGCACGAAGGAGGTCGGACGCCCGCTTGTTGTTTGAAGCGTTATCCATGACCACCTGGACAACGTTTTTGGGGCCCACCGTCTCGATCGAGTTGCTGATGAGCCCGGCGAGGTACTCGCCCGTCTTCTTGGATGTTTTGGAGTCCACAATATCCACGATCACGGGAGCCGTGTCGTTGTGTGCGATGACACACACAAGTCCGCGGCTTTTCAGACACGTCCAGCCGTCGATGGAGAGTGTGCAACCGGTCGTGCTCCAGCTTTCTTTCATCGGCTTGACAAGCTCCTCGGTGTCGACCTTCAGCTTCTGAAGCAGCGCACCGGACACCCTGAAGGGGGATGGCAGGTTGTACGGCTTCCCGAAGGCGACAGCGGCATCAACGAAGGCCTGCACGGCCTTTGATGTGGAGTTGTGAAACGCCCAGTCATTCTCTGCCACTGCTGCAGCCCAGAGGTAGTCGAGTTGGGCGCGTGCACCGGTGTCTCCCATTTCGCGGATATCCCGCTGCCTTGCTCGACGAGCGGGCAGACCTTCCACCGTTGAAGTGGAGCCATGGACTGAGCTACGGCCCGATAATGTAGCCTCCTGCGCTGCTGCCTCGCGGAGTTTCAAAGCGACGTCGGATTTGCAGGGCGTCACGTTCTTCTCCTGCCCATGCGGCGTCCCGTAAATGTGCTCTTTTATGCGTGTAGCGTTAGCCGTCACGCCCTCATTGCAATGGACGCATGTCGCAGTAACGGTTCCGCCTGGTCCAGTATCCTTAACGACGTGTTTCCACAGGTCCGACAATGGTCTAACCATTTCGTGTGTGCTCTGCTGCCAGTAACGCGGAGAGGAATGACCTCAGGCTAGGCTAGAATGCTATGCTATGAACATGTGTTTGATTGAACGACTTACTCTAGCACCTAAGTACCTCGTAGTGCCTTCTGGGCGTGCTGTGTCGAATGGGTTTTGGAAATGGGATGAGATCACGGGAGGTGATCTGATTGGTTGAAATGGTCTCGAATCGCAAAGGTTGGGTTTGTCGCAACTGCGGGCGAAACAGAAATGCGCTGCGCGAAATTGGGAAACGGAAAAAGCGAAACGGGTAAACCTGCTTTGACCGTTCGCCAAATGTTGAAATGTGGCGCCTCGTATTTTTTTACACGTTGCACTTCGGCGAACTCAACCAACGAAATCGCGAAACAGGTAATCTGTATTTTCGTCATTGGTAAATCCCTAAATGTCGCGACTCGGGAATGTGGTGACATTCGCGCTTCGGTGAAAAAACACATTCGACACGTCAGCCTCTCTCAAAATTCCACAATGCAGCGCTGACAAGGGGGGGAAAATCGAATTCGCTATACGATGACCCGGTTTAAAAATTTCGGTCGTATAAAACGACCGTATTTTTAAACCAATCATAAATAACAAGGTCTGACCGTAATAAACCGTTTTATACGACCGAAAAATACGATTCCGTATTATACGGTAAAAAATCAAAAATTCGGTCGTAATTTTGAACCTTGGGTGGCACATGCTCATGCTGGGGTGCGTGTGGGTGGCACACGCTCAAGCTGGGGTGCGTGTGGGTGGCACACGCTCAAGCTGGAGCGCGTGCGTGTGGGTGGCACACGCTCAAGCTGGGGTGCGTGCGGATGGCACACGCTCAAGCTGGGGTGCGTGTGGGTGGCACACGCTCAGGCTGGGGTGCGTGTGGGTGGCACACGCTCAAGCTGGGGTGCGTGTGGGTGGCACACGCTCAGGCTGGGGTGCACTCCCTCCCCATCATGCACGGTCATAGCGGTTGCCGAATGCTCATAGCGCTGCTGCTCATAGCGGCGCCCCAACACTGATAGCGCTGCTTCCCCTGTCATCTATCCCCCGCAAGCCCCACTCCTCTCTCGCACTCTCTTGCCCTCTCTCCCCCCACTACGCCTCGCCCCCCGCACCCTCGCTCCCACCCACCAGCTTCAAGATCTTTGGGCCCATACTGATAGTGGCGGCGGCGGTGCTGGTGCCGGTGAACTACCTGGGAGGGGGGCTGCAGCAGCAGGCGCAGAGCGACCCTGACCTCACGTACAGCGACATTGACATGCTCTCCATCGCCAACATCCCCAACCAGTCGTCTCTGTGCGTGCAGTGCACTCACTGCCCCCTGTAGCGCATGCATGCATCGCCAATGCCACCAGCATGCATGCATGCATGCATCGCCAATGCCACCAGCATGCGCGCCACGTCAGCATATGCATGGCAGCATGTTGGATCGGATGTGTCCGTCCGGAAGCCCCCCTGTGGGACATTCCCCGGACGCTTGTCGGTTGATGAGGCCAATCGGGGTTTGCAGTCTCCCGTTGTGTGCAGTGTATATTGTGCTGAGGGCATGCTTGCGTGGCATGGCATGTCTCACAGTTCTCCATTCCCCATGCACTGTACCACCCCACCCCGCCCCACCCATCCACACCATACCACACCACACCATGGCATGCCACGCCACGCCACACCACACCAAACCATGTTGGTGCAACCCTACGGTTTGCACTCGGCTTGTTGTCCGTGTGCGTGAATGTGTGTGTGTATGGAATGGTATGAGGGCATGGGATAATATATATTTCATGCTTATAATTGTGTGTGAATGTTGAGTCATGATGTCGAGTGTGTGTGTCGAGTCAATAGCGAGTTATCGCTAGACGCGTGTTACGCGGTCGTTTGTGTCTCGCGCGCGGTTTCTATTTTGTCGTGCGCGGTTTCTATTTTGTCCTGTGTCGAACGTTCGGCGTGTCGCAGGTGTGTGCAGCAGACCCATCAAGAACTCAAGGATGAGTTTGTGATGAAGAGCCCGAGCCTTGGTGTCAAGCCTCAAGTGATTTCGAAGCTCGCCAAAAAGGGTACACCTCAAGATATTGAAGATAGTTACATTACTTTGTGTAGTGTAACATTTCACTTGGTGTAGGCCCTAGTGAAGGGTAGTTTCGAGACCCTTCGTGGTTGGGGACAGTGTGGCACTGTTCCACATCACTGTACCTCGGCTCTTGGGGTTTGTAGGAGCTGGGAGTCATTCCCAACTCGTAACTCTTCCTATCTTGTGTTCTAAGACTATAGTGGCTGCCATAGTACCGTTCGTTCAAACCGACGCTGCGTCGTCAATTCTTCATCAAATCGTGCAATCTAAATTGATAATTGTAGATGACGTAAAGACGCTCCAGATCCAATTTGAATCAAGTCATTTGCAGCTGTGAGCAGAACGCTATCAACGTTTGAAGCCGCTGTGCAGAAATCCGTCTGTGCTCTCTATCTTTCGTTTTAGGCACATTCAAGCCTATTGTGACTATAACAAGTGGTATCAGAGCCCCTTGGAGCAGTTTCGACAATGTCTGGACCTGAGGAAAGGGGTGGCAGAGGTGCTGGTGGCAGTGGAGAAGCTCAAGCTCAAGGCCAACCCCGTGATTCAGCCATGGCGCCCATGCAACCAAGTCTAGGCCCACCTAGGGATGAGCCTAGGGTGTTTGGGCTTGACAAGTTCAACGGTGACAACTTTGCTGAATGGTCCTTCAAGATGGAGAACATCTTTGACCACTATGACCTGCTGGAGGTGATGGAAGGAACGGAGAAGCGCCCCGAGAACGACCCGGAGAAGAGCCTGTGGGTGCGGAAGAGCGCACAAGGCTATCTCTTACTTGGGCAAGCGTTGGGGAGCAGTCAGATCCGTCACATCAAGCCATTCCAGCGTGAACCAGAGAAAGGACCAAAGGCATGGGCTGCTCTCAAGGGTGTACATGCTCCTGCAACAGCGGCGGTAGCGGTGGTGTTGGAACGGCAAATGGCGGCACTACGAATTGAAGAAGACGAAGCGGTTGAAGAAGGGGTGCAGAAATTCTTCGACTTGTTGACGCGGCTTGAGGGAGCTGATTTGAACTACAGTGAGCTCCAAAAGAAGACCAAGTTGCTGGCCTTACTCCCAGAGTCATGGTCCTCGCTCATCATCAACCTTAATCGCGACTTGCCCCGCCTCTCGCTTGAAGACGTGAAGCGAGCTATCCTTCAAGAGGATTTCCGCCGCCGTGAGTTGGCGAGTGCGGATGGCGCTGGGGCAGCGAGCATCGGCCGTGGATATGGTCGAGGAAGAGGCAGAGGACGAGGGGGAGGAAGGTTTGGTGGCAGCAACTTCGGCGGAGGCCGCAGGAGTGGCGGTTACGGCAGCGACGACAAGAGCTACGGACGCGGTCGCGGCTGATTCGACGGCGAGTGTCACTATTGCCACAAGAGCGGACACATGTGGCGCGAATGCTACAAACTCCCTGATGGTTGGACCCTTGCTCAAGGCCAAGAGGGTAGAGGAGCAGGAGGAGGGAGAGGACGAGGCCGTGGAGGCCGTGGCGGTCGCGGTGGCGGAGCTGCAAACATGAAGAGCGGAGACAACGACAAGGACCCGAGCGACGATCGATACCCGGGTCTATTCTACTTCGTGTCGACGCAAGTACCGGCTGGTCCAGAGAAGGATGAAGGCTTTGAGGAGCCAGCAGCTGTGGGGAAGGTGACCCTACACCCCCTGGACTATTGGGTGATTGATAGTGGCGCTACCTATAGCATGACACCTCGCCCGGACTTGCTCACCGAACTCGAGCCGTCACCGGTGAAGCATGTCACATCGGCTTTGGGGCAGCGAGCAGAGGTGAAAGGCATGGGCAAGGCCATGTTCAAGGGTGCTGATGGGAAGATGGTGGGCCTCAAGAACGTGCTTTGGGTGCCCAGCCTTGCTGCAAACCTGATTTCCGTGCGGCGGTTGGCAAAGGCCGGCATGGACACGAACTCGAAGGGAGCCAAGACCTACACCGCAAGGCTTGGCGATCGAATTCTTTGGGACCTTCATGAGGACAGGGATGTCTACAACGAGATGTGGCAGATCCCAGTGGTCCCTATGCCTAAGGAGAGGCAAGTGGCAGCAAGCATCAGCACCAAGGATGGAGCGGTCGGTAGCGACGATGGCGCGAACGGTCGTGCTAAGGAGAATGAGCTCAAGAAGAGCAAACCTGGAGGGACCAGCAAGTTCAGTGAACCTAAGGAGAGTGGTGCAGCAACCAAGGAGCAGCAAAAGGGTGAGGAGAACCCAGAGGCAGCAGCGGAGGAGGACTACGGAGAGAGTATGTGGGGCGCTATTGCGAGCGCGGCATTCTCCAATCCAACTTCGGCTACGGGGGAGTGTGATTGGCTCACCTTGCATCGGCGCATGGGGCATGTGGCCCTGCCCATCTTGCAGCAGCTAGTGAAGAATGAGATGGTTGCTGGCATACGTGTGAAGGGGGAGCCCGATGAGGTGCTTGGCTGCCCGACGTGCATTCAAGCCAAGTTCACCCGGTTTCCGTTCCCTAGTTCGGAGGCAACGGCAAAGGCACCGCTTGATGAGGTGGTGATGGACGTGGTGGGCCCCCTGAAGCTTGGAGCTGCTGGAGCTGAGTATTTTCTCACCATTGTCGACGTCTACACCCGCATGACTTGGGTGTACGTGCTGGCCAAGAAGAGCGACGTGGCTGAAACGTTGAAGACGGATTGGTTCCCGATGGTGGAGCGGCAACAAGACCGTCTAGTCAAGTCAATCCGCACCGATCGAGGGGGAGAGTTCCTGAGCAAGGAGTTTGGGTTGTGGCTGAAGAAGAATGGTATTCGGCACTCCCTCACCATGCCATACTCCCCTGCAATGAACGGCATCGCCGAGCGAGCGAACCGCACAATCACGGAGGCGGCACGCGGGTTGCTCATTGAAGCCGGGCTACCCGACTATTTCTGGCCTGATGCGGTGCGGAGCGCGTGTGTGGCCAAGAACAGAGCCTTGACTCATGTGGGAGCAGACAAATGGGTGCCCTATGTGGAGTGGCTAGGAAGGAAGCCAAAGGTGGATATGCTTCGGGTGTTCGGGTGCATGTGCATGGCGCTCGTGCCTAAGCATCTTCGGCACAACAAGCTTGGTGCCAAGGCGGTGTGGGCCGTGCACTTGGGCATGGCTCAAAACAGCAAGGGATGGCTTCTTTGGGACCCATTCACCAAGAAGTTCTTGGTGAGCAGGGACTGCAAGTTCATGGAGAACTTCATGTACAAGGATTGGAAGGCGGAGAATGAGGCGAAGATAGGCGTGCGGTTTGGGGAGGTGAAGAGTTCCGGTTTGGAGCATGTGGAGCTGCCTTTGGAGCTGAGCAGCGGCAGCACAACCACAAGGCAATCCTCCCTTGTGAATGGGGGAGAGGAGGCCAATGATGCAGAGGAAGAAGAGGAGGAGGTGCAGCAAGTGAGCGAGCATGCACCGTCACTCCCTTCCCGTACTACGAGTGCTCCACGGATTCGAGCCACACCGCAGCAACGCCAAGGCCTTCAAGTCCCTGCAGCTGAGGAGGAAGGAAGGGGGAAGAGGAGAGTTCAACCCCCTAATAGGCTGACCTATGATGCGCCGGGAAAGCAGGGCAAGACAGCCCTGGCCGGAGCGGCAATGATGGTCGGAGACGACGAGGAGAGTGACTACGAGGAGTGTGCCTTCGCGTTCTTCTCTCCGGTGGAGATGCCGGGAGAACCAGCAACTCTCAAGGAGGCTTTGGAGAGTAGTGATGCTGAGGAGTGGAAGAAGGCCATGGAGAGTGAGCTGAAGAGCATCGAGGAGAATGACACGTTTGAATTGGTGGAGCTACCGGAGGGGCGTACGGCGATAACGTCCAAGTGGCTCTTCAAAATCAAGTCGGATGCCGACGGCAAGATCGAGCGCTACAAGTCTAGGCTTGTAGCCAAGGGGTACCAGCAGAAGGAGAAGGTGGACTTCAAGGAGCTGTTTGCCCCTGTGGTGAAGCCGACGACGCTGCGAACCCTATTCGCGGGAGCCGCCATCAAAGGATGGGTAGTAAAGCAAATGGACATCGTAACGGCATTCCTTAACGGCATCCTTGAGGAGGAGATTTTTATGGCGCAGCCAGAGGGGTTTGATGATGGTAGTGGCAGAGTGTGGAAGCTGAAGAAGGCCCTCTATGGGCTGAAGCAGGCCCCTAGGCAATGGTACATGAAGCTGCGCGAAGTGTTGGAGGGGATCGGCTTCACTCCCTCAACGGCCGATCACTCCTTGTTCATGCTTGGCGAGGGGGAGCAGAGGAGTTTCATGGTGGTTTATGTGGATGACATCCTCATTTTCTCACCCTCTTCTGACCTTGTGAAGGAGGTGATGCTGAAGCTTCAAGACAAGTTCAAGTGCAAGGCCCTTGGTGACGTGAGCTTCTACCTTGGGCTCCACATCGAACGAGATGTGGAGAAGCGGTGCATGCGGGTGCATCAACGAAAGTACCTGGAGGCATTGGCTGCCAACTTTGGGCAGAGTGAAGGCCATGTGGCTACACCCTTTCCCTCTGGGTTCAAGTGTGTGAAGGGACCAGAGGAGGAGAGCGTTGGTGAAGAGGAGAGGCGCCGATTTCACTCGTTGGTGGGCAGCCTCATGTATGCGGCGGTAAACACCCGACCGGACGTCGCGTTTGCTACCGGGCAGCTGGCTAGGGTTGTGCAATGCCCTAATGAGGAGCAGGTAGCATCTGGAATGAGGGTGGCCAAGTATCTTGGCCAAACACCGACCGTTGGGCTGCAATACTCGGCGGCGGCACAAAGGCGCCAAAAGGGCGCGGATGGTGTTGAACCCGGGCGTTTGTTCCTCACCGCCTACTCGGATGCTTCATATGCATCAGAACCAGAGGACATGACAAGTGTGGGAGGCTTCATATGCTGTGTTGGTGGAGGCCCAACTGCTTGGGAGAGCAAGAAGCAGGTTGACCAAGCTTTGAGCTCGGTGGAGTCCGAGTACATGGCACTCTCCCGTGCCGTACGGGAGATTGTGTGGCAGCGGCGTTTGTTGGCTGAATTGGGGGAGGAGCAGCAAGGACCTACCCCACTGTACTGTGACAGCCAGGGTGCCATTGCTCTTGCTAAGAACCCTGTGTTGCATGGACTCACGAAGCACATGAGGGTGAAGTGGCATTGGACGAGGAGCATGGTAACCGCGGGTGAAGTTGAGTTGCGCTACGTGAAGACCACGGGGCAGCCGGCTGACATGATGACCAAGAGGCTGGTGGAGCAGCAGCATTGGAAGTGTTGCAAGCTGGCTGGGATGGCTCTGAACTGAGAGAGCAACATATCCTAAGCCCAACAATCCGAGGGGGAGTTTGTTGGTGCAACCCTACGGTTTGCACTCGGCTTGTTGTCCGTGTGCGTGAATGTGTGTGTGTATGGAATGGTATGAGGGCATGGGATAATATATATTTCATGCTTATAATTGTGTGTGAATGTTGAGTCATGATGTCGAGTGTGTGTGTCGAGTCAATAGCGAGTTATCGCTAGACGCGTGTTACGCGGTCGTTTGTGTCTCGCGCGCGGTTTCTATTTTGTCGTGCGCGGTTTCTATTTTGTCCTGTGTCGAACGTTCGGCGTGTCGCAGGTGTGTGCAGCAGACCCATCAAGAACTCAAGGATGAGTTTGTGATGAAGAGCCCGAGCCTTGGTGTCAAGCCTCAAGTGATTTCGAAGCTCGCCAAAAAGGGTACACCTCAAGATATTGAAGATAGTTACATTACTTTGTGTAGTGTAACATTTCACTTGGTGTAGGCCCTAGTGAAGGGTAGTTTCGAGACCCTTCGTGGTTGGGGACAGTGTGGCACTGTTCCACATCACTGTACCTCGGCTCTTGGGGTTTGTAGGAGCTGGGAGTCATTCCCAACTCGTAACTCTTCCTATCTTGTGTTCTAAGACTATAGTGGCTGCCATAGTACCGTTCGTTCAAACCGACGCTGCGTCGTCAATTCTTCATCAAATCGTGCAATCTAAACTGATAAATGTAGATGACGTAAAGACGCTCCAGATCCAATTTGAATCAAGTCATTTGCAGCTGTGAGCAGAACGCTATCAACGTTTGAAGCCGCTGTGCAGAAATCCGTCTGTGCTCTCTATCTTTCGTTTTAGGCACATTCAAGCCTATTGTGACTATAACAAACCACACCAAACTACGCCACTTCATGCCACACCACACCAAACCACGCCACTCCACGCCACACCACACCATGCCACACCAAACCACACCACACCACATCACACCACACCACACGATGCCACACATGGCATCCATGGGTGCAGGCTGTGGGTGCACGTGGCGATGGCATGGCTGTTCAACGCGTGGGCGCTGTACATGATGCGTCTGGAGCACCGCACCGTTGCTGACATGCGCCTCGACTACCTTGCTGATCAGCAGAGGGCCCCCAACCAGTTCACTGTGAGCGCCCAACCAGTTCACTGTGAGCGCCCAACCACTTCACTGTGAGCGCCCAATCAGTTCACTGTGAGGCATGACAGGGTCCATTACAACCCCGTGATGATGACAGGCATGGCAGGTTGACTGAGCGCCCAACCGATTCACAGTGAGGAAGCGAGGAGTGTGAGAGGGTGCCCATTACATTCCAGGTGAGGTGCAGGAGGGTCCATCACAGCAAGCTGCTTCCCACCACTTCCTTCTTCCCTCGCTTTCTCTTGCCCGGTCTCCACACGCGTGTCCCATGCCCATTTCTGTGCCAAGATATAGTTTCTCACCTGCATGTTCTCATGCCTCTCATGCCTCTCGTGCTCCAATGCAGCCACTTGCTGCCACCATTCTGTTCTCAGTTTCATTCGCTCGCCTCTGCTTGGACCCATTCTGTTCCTTGCTTCTCCCCGCGCCCACAGGTGTTGGTGCGGCAGGTGCCGAAGCACCCAATCAAGACCGTTCCGGAGCATGTGGACCATTTCTTCTCAGTCAACCACCGCGGTCACTACCTGCTCACCCAGGTACCCACTACCTGCTCACACAGATGCTACCTGCTCACACAGATGCTACCTGCTCACACAGATGCTACCTGCTCACACAGGTGCTACCTGCTCACCCAGGTACCCACTACCTGCTCACCCAGGTACCCACTACCTGCTCACACAGATGCTACCTGCTCACCCAGGTGCCTATTCCATTCAACAACGGCTCATGTGTATTCCCACCAGCTCAATAGCATGTCCTATGTCACTATGTAGTGATAACTGTACCTACGTTGGCAAATACGCTTATCACTTATAATACGCTAGCGTATTATGCGCTGGGTATATACGCGGTACGCAATGGCTGGCGTACTGCTGATACGCTAAAATACGCTGGGCGGGCAGGTGAAACCTTTTTTCCCGGGCAGTAGAGCTGTGAACAGAGGCTGCATTGCTCGTCGAACTAGTAGGAGGTGCGCTCGACGCCATGGCGCGCGACTACGGAACGTCTAACTAACGGGGAAGAATGCTAGACGAGACCTGCGGGAAGTAAATTGTGGTCGTCGACCTAAAAATGCTCACGAAGTGATGAACATTTGAAAGGGGTGGTTGGGTTTGAGAGGTTGGGTGGGGTGGTGTGTGGTTGAGTGGGTGGGAAAGTTTGGATTTTGACATTCGAAGTTCAGACGTGGGTAGGGTGCTTGAGCGAGTTCGCGGTAACAATTTGCGAAGCCGCAAAGTCGTCGCGATTTTTTTCAATTTCCTTTTTTTTTTACCGCGGGCTGCCCGGGCGTATTTTCGCAAATCCAGAGCGTATTAGCGTACCACGTATATACGCTAGCGTATATACGTGGTGCGCCAGCCTTCCCAAAGCGTATCTGCCAACGTAGAAATGTACTGTGTCACCACGTTCCACTTCTGAGTCGACTCACAAGTCACCTCGTTCCACGAGATATTGTGATAGAATTCTGTTGAAGTGCCATGCACCAAACAATCACGCTGACTGTGAACGTTGTACGGATCGGGAGAAGCGAGCGTAAACATTGTAGATGGAAATCAGATTCACGCAGCAGCATGATACGACCTTGTCTTGTTCCACTCTTTCTTTTGCACCGCCAAGCTCTTCTTATTCTCAAAAGCCCAGCTTCACTCACATGCTCTAGGTATGATGAGCACAAGTCGACCCTGAAACAGTTCGACCCGAACGCGTCGAACTGGCCGGGTGGTCAAACTGAACAGGTTGGGCCGAACCAGCTGGGATGGGAGCCTGTCTGGTATTTGCCATGCCGGATGTCATAAGGCATGCCGGATGCCATAAGGCATGCTGGATGTCATAAAGGCATGCCGGAGGCCATAAGGCATGCCGGATGCCATAAGGCATATGCTGGATGCCATAAGGCATGCCGGATGTCATAAGGCATGCCAGATGCCATAAGGCATGCCGGATGTCATAAGGCATGCCGGATGCCATAAGGCATGCTGGATGTCATAAAGGCATGCCGGAGGCCATAAGGCATGCCGGATGCCATAAGGCATGCTGGATGTCATAAAGGCATGCCGGATGCCATAAGGCATGCCGGATGCCATAAGGCATGCCGGATGCCATAAGGCATGCCAGATGGCATAAGGCATGCCGGATGTCATAAGGCATGCCGGATGTCACATGCATGTGGATCCGCGGACAACAGGCGCACCAGCGTTGGATGTGGTGGGAAGGTACGTGAATGTGACAGACGCGGGTCAAGGAATCCCCCTGCGGGCCTCGCTCGCCTGGTCAGGTCAAGACAGAGCTGGCCCACACCCCTTCTCAACAGGCGCTGCCTCGTGTGTGAAGTGAAACCAGCTCAGCCCGACCCGTTGTAACAGCCCGCTGACGAGGTTCGACTCGAGGCATTCTGGGTTGGGCGTTTCATGTGTACAGAGCTCTCAGGGGGGCTCGCCTGGGGAAGAAGCGTCTGTAGCATGAGTGCCTTGGTTGTCTTTAAGTTTGTCCCTTCTTTCACGCCCATCCCACCCACCCCTTGTTAGAATTGCCATATTCTAGCATGCTAACACTTGTGACTGTACACCAATTGTGGTGTACAGTTGGGTTGGGACTACACCCAACTTTGGGT